AGAAATAGTCATATAATCAACCAAATGAACAAAACAATTTAGGGTACTGGTTCAACCTGGGAACTTGTTAGTAATGCAAATTATTAGGCTCCCCACCCCTGACCTACAGGATCAGAAAACTCTGATGGCAGGGGCCAGCAATCAACTTGAACAAGCCCTCCAGGTGATTCTATTGCACACTCAAGTTTGAGAATCACGGGTATATGATAATTAAACCTTGATGAGGAACAGCCTCAGTCTTTACCATACAGCTCCCTCACAGCTGGGAGGCTCTGGGCACAGGTTTTCACCTTTCCCGCAGATATCCTGGCTACTCAGATAATAATTAAGATTGTATGGTGGAGCCAGGGCAGACTAACCTTCAACTCAAAATGGGGGAAGGAGAGAGCACAAAAAATTATTACCGCAAGACAAAATGAGAGAGACATCTACCTGTCCAAAACAGTACAAACAGAAAGAAATGTGAAAACTTCCAGATTTCTACTTCTCTGGTTTTCTAACTAGTATATTCCCAAAGCCACTGACACCAATATCAACTATTAGGAAACAGAACCAAAATAACCTTGTTGAAACAGATTGACAACAACTAAGTTGAAAAAGTTACTTGAAAAATAACCGATATTTTAAGAGGAACAATAAAACTATAAATTCAGAGAATTCAGAGCTGAAAAGAACTGTTGTAAAATCCACTTTCTGGTTTTAAGAACACAATTTTAAAAATCTCTTTGAAATAAATTCTTGCAAGCTCCAAGGTACACAGAAGCAAAATCACTGAAAATTGTGTTATGACAATCATGTTTTTGTTTTTCAAATGTCACTCATTCTGTGTTTATGAAATATAATCATGCTGTTAAAGAGTCTCATGTCAAATGATAACACATTTTATCTCTTGTTGTTGTTAGTTGCTATCAAGTCGATTCTGACTCATGGAGACCCCATGTGTGCAGAACAAAACTGTGCTGCATAGGTTTTCAAGGCTATGACCTTTTGGAAGCAGATCTCCAGGCCTGTCTGGATGGATTCGAACAGCCAACCTTTCAGCCAGTAGTCTAGCTCTTAATCATTTGCACCACCCAAGGACTTCTTTTATCTCTAAGAATGCATATAAACACTAATGACTCCTGCTTTTTAATAGGGATGTTGAGATAATGCTAGACACAACCTCTTTCTGAAAGCAGACAAATATCTGAAGAACATTAGTAACTTTCCCTACATCTTAGAGACACAGAATCAGATATTCTTGCTTCCCCCATGAAAAATTCTGATTTATACCAATGGGATTTTAAAGAGTATGTAGCTTTACGTTTTTTCCTAGCTCAAATATCCAAGTCTGGCTGAAATGTGATAAGCCCAACATTCTCCCTGTGCAAGACTACACAGCTTTGAATAAATAAATTTATTTCCAATCTGTGTTGACATATATTTGACCTTAAAATGGTTTATTAGCTTCTGACCTCTACCTCTCTTTGCACCTAGGAAAAATAGCTCTCTACTAGGCCATTCTGGCTGAGTGCTTCTCCAGATAAACACCTAAATTGATGCTGACCTACCAGAGGGGAAATCACTCCAGAGATTTCCCACAACAGACCCAAGATATTATCACTGCACTCCTGTCTCTGCGGTTACATTTAGATCCAACCCCAAAAAGCTATGTGAATAGACAGTCTGCAAAACATTATCGTTTTATATATAGAAACCACAATTCTCAAACTCAATGGCCCAGCATGAACACAAACTTTGCCATTTTGCCATGGTGACCATATACCCATTTGCCCTGAACTGTCCAGATTTACATTTGTGCTGGTGTAATTACTAGTGATTCCACATTTCACAATAAAAACTGTCCCAGATTAAACAATACATTATATGATTATCCTACACACAGGTCCATAGAAAAGGGACAGGCGTGAGGAACAAACCAGAGGCAACTTATTTGGGAATGTTTGCAGGCCTGCCACTCTAGGCTACCTTGTTCTATTATGGACAACACCTAGAAGACTCTCTAAAATAATGACCCTAAAGTTCAAATAAACAACTCTCCACTTCAAATGGAGAACTCAGGAGCAAAGCAAATAGCTGGTCTTCTTCCTTCTGAATTCAAGGGTACCCAGAACTTTCCAGAACCTACTCTGTATGAGTTATGCTACTGGATGACAGGAATATGGTGAATTCATCCCTTAACAAGTCCAGCTGAAAAATCACTACTTTGGGGAGTTTTATTTGTAAACTCTTCAAAAACTATGGTCCTAACTCTTCCCACTATGTGAGTCATATCGATTGAACTTAGATGCTCAAAAGGAAATCTGGCAACAGCCAGAAGACTGTTTTAAAATTGCACTCATCCATTCAGCAAACATTTATGCTAGAGACTGAAAATGGCCCCCTGTGAATCAGAGAATACAATCCTTAGGTGTGTTTAGTTTGGCCCTTTAATACCAGCTGCCATGGAGTCAATTCCAACTCATGGCGACCCCGTGTGTGTCAGAGTAGAATTGTGCTCCACAGGGTTTTCAGTGGCTGCTTTTTCAGTAGTGGGTCGCCAGGCCAGTCTTCCAAGGTGCCTCAGGGTGGACTTGAACATCCAACCTTTTGGTTAACAGCCAAGCACATTAACACTTGCACCACCCAGAGACTCCCTGGCCCATAGAGGACTCTTAAATGTTTAAAATACTTACTCATATTTTAACATGTGAACCTTTGCATAAAAATCCAGATTTCCAGCTTCTCTTAGGAAAGTAGAAGCTCTGGCAACAGGAGGCTTGTGTTCCGTTAAGTAATGCAATTTCCAGCCAGAGCTGAAGAGCACCTTTGAGAAAGGTCACCTGCTATCCAGCCCTTCTCCATCCTCACTCAACCGTCCTCCCAGGCGTCTGAGTTGATAACACCTGATTTATGGCTGGAGGTAATCCCTGGAGGGACCACATCTGACACTTAAATTAACGATCCTCTGCCAGGGATTCTATAGGATCTGAGCAAATAAGAATCCATATATTTAGAAAAGGATTCAACTGGGAAACGAAGATAAGCAGGAGAGTTGGTTTTTTCCTTCCTTTCTTTATTGGAAAGCCATATGGCTCCCACTGCTCCCACCAGAAGGGGAAAATGAGCCTAAACGTACTACTGCTTGTAAAGTAAACAGCACATTCAGCCTCTGACACCTAAACACACAACGGAGGTAAATAAAACAGGATGTTTTAAATTGGCCTCCCACCAACGCGTCAGGGTGGGACTCAATGACCACTGTTGAGAATTCAAGGTGCCACAGCCCATAGACAAACTCTGCACCATCATGAAATTAGCAAAGATGTGTCATGTGTCAGATCTGAAGACAGTAACTTTAACATAAACCATCAAAATAATGATAGGTTCCCTAACGTTCCAGAAAAATACAATTTATTCCTCCCTACTGACAGAAGCAGAAACTTGTAATACCATGAAGATTTAATAGTTTTCAGAAATAAATCAAGAATATGCTGTACCTCAGTTTCAACATATGTAAAAGCTTAAAAAAAAAAAGGTTTGAACAAACAAGTATAAGTTAAAATTTACTTTAATCGTTAGGATCAGTGATCACATAATTTAAAGTTGCTCTCTTCATAATGACAACTGAGTATTAAGATATGAAACTATTTTACAAAGTAACTGATAAAATCTAAGACAATGAAATTTTATTTTCCTCCTCAGTTCAGCTACAGATCGTTTGTGAAAAACTATAGAATAACCAGAAAGTCTTTCCATTAGAGATATTAGAATTATGAACTAAGAAAAAATTAAAGCCGTACTTACAGCTGTTTTCTTCTTCTGACCACTGCAGTTGTTACTACTTTCCCAGCTACCAAAAGCACCACCACATGGTGAAACCTGAGACCTTATTTACATTTACAATAACACTATTCTTCCAAAGTACTCTGCAAACATTAAATAATGAATCATCTTAAAAACAGCACTTTAGGGGCTTTTGATATATTAAAACTTCCCTTTACACATTAAAAAAAAGCCTACTTTCTAAGAAACAATCACTGTGGTAAGGTTTTGTTCAGATTCCTCTAGCGTTTAGAGAAAAATCATGCTTGTTTCTAAGCAATTAAAGTTAATTGTTGGGTAACAACAGCTCGATTCCGTAAACTCTGTAAAAATACTATTGAAAAACAAATTCTGATCTCTTCATACAAATACCTCTTCTACTAGGCTAAATTTTAAATGACCTAAGAGCTACAGCTGCTAACCAAAATGCTGGCAGTTCAAATCCACCAGGCGCTCCTTGGGAACCCTATGGGGCAGTTCCACTCTGTCCTATAGGGTCGCTACGAGTTGGAATCGACTCGACGGCAACGGGTTAACCATGTATTAATTCTGTCTCCACTGAAGTGTGTAAAAAAACTACCAAAAAAAGAGTCTTTCTTCAACTCTACATATAACATCGTACTTTGCTGACAATCTGACAATGTCTAGTAACTTTTCCCTTAAGCCCGCTCGAAAAGAGCCTCCGGGATCGGAGACTCGCAGGTGCCAAACGGGTTAAGGAGCAGGACTTGACTCAGAGCTCAGGGCCTCTAGGAACCCAACCCTCTCCCGTGTCGGTACACACACATACACACCACACACATACAAGGCGAAGGTCCGGAAATCTCCATCTCCGATCACCGTCCACACAGGGCGATCCTCTCTGGACGCGCACCCCTCCCGCGTCCTACTCTCCCGCGCCCGCTCCTCCTTGGTTCCGAGACAGTTCTTTGTCTCCCCCCACCCCCTATTCCTGCTCCTTCGGACCAGTCCACTCCAGCCGCCGCTCAGCCACGGAACATCTTTTCCCCGACTCTGGGACAGCGGCGGGAAGGGGAGAGCGACCGCTCCAGCCGCGCCACGTGGAGGGCGCGCGCCGGTAGCCCGACCACCGTGCGCCAGAAAAGTGAGGCCCAGCCCCTTCGGCCCTGCTACCCCACCCCTGTGCGCCAGCCCCTCCCCAAGCTTTCCCCCGCGTCTGGAAGAGGAGGTCTTGCCTGGTTGGGGTCTGTGGCGCGGAAAACGTGGCAGGCCATCTGCGACTCGGGGTCGTCGGGCTGCGCCTTGATCAGATAGGCGAAGTAGGTGAGGTCCTGGCTGTTGTGGATGAAGCGCGAGATGTGCTGCGCCTTGTGCTCGAAGATGAACACGGCTGGGTTGGGCTGAGCGGCTGCGGGGCCGGGGCCCCCAGCGCCCGGCGCGGGGACGCAGCGCAGGAAGGGCGCGCTCAGCACCAGGAGCACCTCGCGGGCCGGCGGCGCCCCGCAGCCGCCCGCCTCCGGCCTCAGGCTGCGCCGGCGGATTTCGGCCATGAGCCAGGGCAACATGGGCAGCGTGGTCCTGCGGTCCAGGCACGACCCCCCTACGTACCACAATCGGAATCGCTTCTCGCCGGGTTTCCCCGGGGCTGACTGCGAAGGGGCGTCCGGCTCGGGCTCCAGGGGGTGCGGAAACGGCTCATCCTGAATGCAGCTGGGGGTTTCCATAACTCGCGCCTAAGGAGGGCACTGAGGCGGTCCACCAGGCGCGCCGCGCCCCCAACTCCAGCGCCGAAGGCGCTGCCGAAACTCTGCCAACTCCCACACCGGGCTCCCGCGCCCGCCCCGGTGCGGCGAGATCCCGAACTCCAAGCCTCAGCGTCCCTGCCCCAGGCGGCACTTCCCCGGACGCAGGTCGGAGGCTCCGGCGGCGGGCACGGAGGCGAGCTCCCGGCACCCGGGCTCCAAGGAGAGGGCGGGTTAAATCGGCATCCTCCTTTCTCTAGCTCGTGCTTCGGGACCGGACTTCCTTCTTCGCTACGGGTCTGTCCGATCAGAGAACGCCGAGGCCCCTACGCCACCGCCTCCCGCCGCGGCCGGTCGCCGCCTCCTCCAGCGCTGCAGATCCGCTGCCACCGCCGCTCTCGCCTCGGGCGTGCACTTGGAGGCTGGGCGGGGAATGGGCTGTGGGCGGGAGGGGGGTGATTTGGGGCGGGGCTGACTCCTACCAGGATGACCGGCTGTCACCTAGAAGGTCGGGGCTGCAGAGCTACGGTGCGGTCAGTCCTCGGGAAGGGCTTCCGAAAACTATCCCCGTGGAAAAATAACAAAAACACAACGTGGCCTCGCGGGGCCGCTCCTCTTGCCGCCGCAGCCCAGCTTGCTGCTGCTGCTCCTCCTGTTCCCGTCCCTCCCTCGCTCCTTCCTTCCTTCCAGGCTGCTTCTTTAATCAGGCTTCTACTCCGCCTCCCGTCCGGCGGGCGGTGAGGAACGCCTATAAAACCGCAACTGAAATCACCTCTCCGCCTCTCCAAACCGCCCCTCCACTACACCGTTAGGACAGCTCCCCCGCGCCTGGCGTGGCCGCTGCCCGGCCCAACTCGGCCTCTCCCAGCTAGCCGAGCTCTCCATCCAGTCCAGTTGTCTCTGCTGCCCCCTCTAGAGGGGGCCGCTCCCAGTGAGTCGCTGGAATTTTTTTTAATAGTCTTTGCTTGGCTTCAGTTCCTTCTAAATCCTGCGTATTGGTTTCTGAATACTCTTTCTTAGTAGTCTCAAATAATATTCGTGTTTAAATCAGATATTAGTATAACATTTTTAATTCCAGTTTTCACTTTATAACATTATATGACAAACAAATCTTCCCAGTCCTTAGTGCAGCCAACTTCTGAAAATACGGAGAAAGGATAGTTATTATATATACCCTTGCTGTTTCCAAGAAGTATTTGAAGCTGTTTACAGATACACATACAGTATGCAAACCCGTTGCCGTCGAGTCAATTCCGATTATAGGGACCCTATAGGACAGAGTTGAACTGTCCCATTGGATTTCCAAGGAGTAGCTGGTGGATTTGAACTGCTGACCGTTTGGTTAGCAGCCGAGCTCTTAATAACTGCACCACCAGGGTTCCAATACATAAGAAGATATAAGAGAAGTAATGAGAGGAGGGAAGGGTAGGAAAGATGAAGTTAGGGGCAGTATCAATACTCAAAATACATACCATAATTTTCTAGAGATTGGCAACAACGTTTCAGAGATAGTGTAGAGATTTCTCACATTTTTATGTATAGAAATGAATGTTTCCAAGAAACTCAAAAAACATCTCAGGGATCATTTGATCGTTCTAATTTTGAAACAGCGAAATATTCTTTTCCCCATTTTAGCAAATCTGACTCTCAGTCATTATATTAGTTTCCTGTTGTTGTGTGCTGTCCAGTAGATTCCAACTCATGACAACCCTACAGAACAGAGTAGAACCGCCTCATAGGGTTTTCTAGGCTGTAATCTATATGGAAGCAGATCACCAGGTCTTTTATCCTGGGGAGCTGCTAGTGGGTTCAAACCACCCACCTTTCACTTAGAGCAGAGAGCTTAAACACTGCACCACCAGAGTTCATTATTAGCTTCTTGGGCTGCAGTAACAAATTACCACAAAGCGAGTGGCTTAAAGCAAACGAAATTTATTCTCTCCCAGTTCTGGAGACCAGAAGGCCAAAATCAAGTATCAGCAGGGTGAGTTCCTTCTAAAGGCTCTGAGGAAGAATCTGTTCCTTGCCTTTCTCAGTTTCTGGTGGTTTCTAGCAATCCTTGATGTTTCTTGGCTTGCAGCTGTATCACTCCAATCTCTGCTTCTCTGTGTGTCTCTGTATCTCTTCACGTGTGCTTCTTATAAGGACACCAGTCATTGGATTTAGGGCCCATCCTAATCCAATACGATCTTGACTTAATTTGATTACATCTTCAAGGACCCTACCTCCAAATAAGGTCACATGCAAAGATATCAAGGGTTAGGACTTAAACATATCTTTTGGGGGGACACAGTTCAACCCACAGCAGTCATTCCCTCTTTTTATTCCCAATGAATTATAATTAAGAACTGGGTAAGAAGTAAACACAAAACAAATGGGAAAGACACTGAAAGTTCCTGACTTTTGCCAGTGTGCTTAGAGGAAGAATGAAAACCCAGGTTTCTCAAATATTATTAGTTTAGTGGTGTTCTAATTTTCTATAAAACCCTGGAACTACTTTCTCCTATTTATGTAAGATTAATATGGTCAGCTGCCATTTATTCCTATGTTTAATTTATGGGTGCACCTGATGGTTGTCATAATTGTCTAAGCTCCAAGAGAGAGACATAAATAATTGCTTAGATTGAGTCATTTGGCTTAACCATTCCACCGAACTTCTGTGTAAAATAGACCTATGTCTTCAAGAAGTAATGGGAACTTCTTGAAACATAGACTGAAACTTATCAGAAACTCTCCTGCACAGATTCCATTTTCCTAGGTCACAAATTGGAGACCCACAAAAGAAAAAGAAAAGAACAAACAAAGATATGGGGAAAGTATGAAAGTCTTATGAGTTCTACCAAATCAACCAGCTTGGGAGCTAGGAGTGGATTTGAACCCCAGAAGGCCAATTCCTACTTGTGTAAGAGCCAATAGTAGAGAGCAAACTTTCACTCATTGGCAGAAAAACAGGAGAGTTATTTTTTATTGTATGACATCCTAAGTGTGATTGCTTCCTGCTCTGGAAGCCCGTTAGCACTTTCTTTGTAATATTATTATGATGTTTATCTTACTATACACCCACTCCTCACTTATTGACATGGTTAGGTTCCAAAGACCAGGTCTTTATGCGAAAATCAGCGTTACGTGAAAATAGGCATTATGCAAAAATGGAGGATGAGCACATCAGATCACAAAATGAAGGATGACTACATTATTACATAACTGCCAAATTACATCATTACATAACTGCCAAACCACTGAGAATCATGGCCCAGCCAAGCTGACACATAACTTTAACCTTCACAGCCAGCATTACTCTTGCCTCACACCTCAGCATCCGTTACTGCCAGACATATGTCGTTAATGCACAAAACAGTAAGATAGTAGATTTTTTACTATTGTTGTAAATGTAAAATGTTGGATAACAAGTTAGTTGATGAGTGAGGAATAGGTGTACATTGATTCGCATTATTACTGTTTACCAATATCTGGGCCTTCATTCTAACACATGGAAAGATAGCTCTTCCCTCCCCCTTGAAATTAGGCATGGTCACGGGACTTGTTTTGGCAATGAAATGTGAGCAGAAGTGACTTGGGTCACATCTGAGTAGATCATTTAATTGCCAGTAGTTGACACTTGGGCCCACTCTTTCCCTCGAGTGGTCATACTAGAAGCTACATGTCTATATGGAGGTACCCAGAACGCTGATCCAACACATGTAAGACATCTAGCTGCCCTAGAGAATCTCCTGGATGCACAGCAGAATTCATATGAGTGAGAAAAACTTTTGTTCTCTTAAGCTGCTGAGATTGTGAGGTTGTTTGTTACCTCATTGTTAATCTATCCTATCCTATCCAATAAAACTTTTAGACTATAACCAGTTGCCATTGAGTCAGTTCTGACTCATGGGACCCCATGTGTGTCAAAATTGAAATGTGCTCTATAGGGTTTTTAATAGCTTATATTTCAGAAGGAGATCACCTGGCTTTTCTTCTGAGGTGTCACTGGGGGGACTAGAACCTCCAACCTTTTGGTAACCAACCACGTGAATTAACCATTTGCACCACCAATGATTCCTATTGTACTATAGTATATAGCATATTATGTTTTATGTAACTTGTTTTATAATCATTTATACACTTATTACATATGTGAACTAAATGATAAGTGATTAGTTTCTTACCACCATTGTATCACCTGCAGAACCTTACAGAATCACATGCACATAAAAGTGCACAATTGTATATTTAATCACTTGAATTTAGAAAAAGAGAACAAGATATAACTAAAATATATTTGGTAAGTATTACACAGAATATGCAAAGTAGCCCTGGTGGCGCAATGGTTAAGCGCTTGGCTGCTAACTGAAATGTTGGCAGTTCAAACCCACAGAAAAGACCTCACGACCTGCTCATGTAAAAATTACAGCCTAGGAAACTGTATGGGACAGTTCTACTCTGTCATATAGGGTCGCTATGAGTTAGAATCAACTCAAGCGCACACAACAACAACAAAGAATATGCAAGCCTATGATATTTACTAAATCGTAAAGCACTAAATCAACCTCACCTCTGAACCCCCCTACTCCTTCACTCCAACCCTCCTCACACCCCAAAAAAGGGTAAAGAATGTGCTCATGAAAAGCATTTCCAACAACTTGCTAGAAATATCTCCTAAGTAGTCTTATAGGCACCTCTACCTATGTTATCCAAAAGTGAAGGCTTATATATATAGATATGAATATGAATATATATTTTAAGTGTTTCTATAGCAATCTCAATTAATAGTGTCACCATTAATTAGAAGTTGTAAGATGCAGTTAAATCCCAGTTAAAGAATTTATACCACATGAGAAATAATAAGGGCCTGACCTACTGTGGTGGTGTAAGACTGGAAAGGTTTGTTGCAGCCTCTTAGCTTATTTCTCTGCTCCCAAGCTCGTTCTCTTCTTCTCTCTCTCCTATTCTCTGCCTCCCAACATCTGCTCCTTTTCTTCTCAGCTTAAAAATCTCTGAATGAAGATACATTTCCTAAAGTGCAAAGCAGAGATCTTTCTAGTTTTATCTCTGCTGCTCCCTTCTCCCCTACTCTACTCACATCCAGACAACCTCTCTATTCCCAAACTATCACTTGCTTATGTCTTTATGGGGTTTCAAGGGCTTCTTACTCTCTCTAGATCCTCTTCTCTTCCTGTCACCCCACAACTTGAATTTTCTCCTTCCCTCACTACTTGAATGTCCATTCATTCTGCAAGAAGCAACTCAAAAGTCATCTCCTCTGGGAAGATGTTTCTTACTTCCCCAACCAGAGTTAGCGGCCGTCTCTTACACATTCCACTATTATGATTCTTACCACATTCTTTATAAATTACTGGGTGATTTGTCTCTGTCTCCCCTGTTATCGTTTCCAAGTGTGTTTAAGAGAAA